TCGAACCTTGCGTTCTTCGAAAAAAATACGAGCGGGTTCCCAATCGCTTTCAGATGGCTCTAAAACACCTCTGGTTTCTAACGAGAGATAGATGGAGTCAGCTAAAGTCCGAAGGGCAGCGACATGCCGCCATGGACGAGACCGGGTAGATTTGGCCAATAGAATTCCAAGAGACGTCAGCCGGAACCCGCGGTGGCCTTGTTCAGCGGTCCTCCGCCGACGGAAAACACATATGCCGGAATGGGCATCCTTCGTGAAGTATCTATTAAATTCTGATAAGTAGAGCTGTGGTATGGGTGCAGGGCACATACACCACATCCTGGTCTACAAGATGGAGACCACTGGGGAGGGTGCTAAATTCAACACCATCGAGCTCAAGGTCTGAAGCACATTTAAGTCGCTAACCGATATGAAAACTGCAAACAGACCATCGCTGGCCTTCAAACACCAGTCCACTAGATTACCCTTCGTTGGGTGAAACGAAGCGTGGAAGATAGCAACTGGACAGCGGGGTATCAGTTGAACTCTTGCGGCTTTAGACTTAATAACAGACCTATATCCTGAGGTATTCTTCCTCTTGAGTCGATGGCATCGATGGACATGGTTGCAGCCGCATGCACAGGCTACTGCAGGCAGCAACCATTTAGAGTCTCGCATTGTCTCACACTATTAATGTCACGGCTGAAGGGACCATCGGTCACACTCTTGTCACGCTCAATCCAGCGATGGCTTCAACCACTTCGTCGCAGCCTCAACAAATCAATGTTGCTGATCTCGACCTCCAACAGCTATCTGATGTGCGCCGTCAGCTAGAGGAGGTACTTTAATGATATCACTGTTTTTCTGCGTCTCTGATTGTGTTGTAGGAATTGAACCACCTCACAAACTCATTCGCTCAGCTGAAGCAGGCACAAGCGAAGTTTAAGTCATGCATTGAGAATGTCAGAGAAATTAAACCTCAAAACAAAGGTACACCGGAATTTTCATCTTCAGGCTCTAACTTAATTCTATCTGTGCAGGAACGACTATCCTTGTTCCTTTGACCAACTCCCTATATGTGCCTGGTCACTTAAGTGATGCGGAGAATGTGATCGTCGACGTCGGTACAGGATATTACGTGAAGAAGGCATGTGTGAGATCTTATGTTACAGGCCACCGCTGATTAGATGACCGTACAGTCTCGGGCACAGGCCACCAAATATTATGAAACAAAAGTGGAATATATTCGCACTAATCTCGATACGCTACAAGAAACGATACAAAAGAAGCAGGAGAATATGAGCTACCTCATTAATGTAATGCAGGCTAAACTACAGCAGTCCCAGACACAGCCCACCAAGGTCTGAACTTTCGAGTTAAGGCAAGATTACATTTGCAACCTGCCCTTCCCCGCTGATTTCTCCTTTATAATAGATTTTAGCTGTAACATACTGAATGCACAATCTTGCGTCTTCATCGTGCATGAAACGTTTGTTACTTCACTTGGGTGACAGATCCTAGTTAATGGCCTGAGAAACGCGGTTTTTTCACTGCCGGAGAAGGTTGCTCTGCGTCGTTTGGGCTTTTACCAATCGTTATGATATAGTATCAGGGGGCAAATGGAGCTGGGTCACGATGACGGCAGGCGTTTATCGCTTGTCCAACCCGATAATATATTACTCGGCTGTCTATTTTAGGCACCCCCGCCCTCATCTCCCTTCCCGCCGGGTTCCTCACTGCCCACAGAACTCCACACGTCGCCGACCACGACGAGCGCGCGCTATTTGGGGTCAGCGCCAAGCCTACGTGCGCTTAGTCATCCTCCCCGTCATGCCCCGTGCCACACGACATAATAAGCTCCTGGCGCTTTTCGTGCAGTTATAACTCAATGTCTGTTTTGCGCCTTTGGTATCTATACGTACCCATGCACTGCTCTAACCTAGCCGCACTCGAGCTGCGCGTTCTTCTAACATTGTTCCATTTAATCATTATAGATTATAGGCAGGTTTGGTTGGTCGATCATTTTTGCGTTTGCAGGCTATGGTGATGAATGGCGTCGTTGCCGACGACTCTTGCACCAAACTTTCCGTCCTGACTCTGCACCCAAGTTTCGTCCAATGCAGATCAAGCGCGCGCATGAGATGATCAATCTAATTAATGACCCTCATTGTCACTTTGCAACGTCAGTCTATGTGTTTGTAAACTACTAACCTGGATTCTCGACATCAATTACGATATCAACGACATACGGCCGCCAAACTAGTCCTCGTGATGATCCTCTGGTTCGAATCCCTAGAGAGCAATTTTGCTCAAAAATTTTCCCTTCTGTGAGCTAAGCTATTTTTCTCGTGAAAATAACTAACACTCTGTACTCTGACGCAGTACTGAAGTTACCTGACTGGTGCTAGGGATCTTCAATCAAACGCGATGCTCTCACACTTCGGTCAATTGCACGAGAGAAATGACCGACGTGCCGTTTCAATGTGCACAGGAGCATATGGTGGGCATCTTTCGTTTTGAAAGATATTAGCTCATTCTAGCTATCAATCACATGGTCGTCAAGGCCGAAAACTTCCCTTGGTCAGTTTTCGATGGTAGCAGAAAATATCCAACGAATCGAGAAGCAAGATCAGACATCCAGACCATTGTTTGAGGGTACCTTAAAGAAAGCAGCTACTACTGCTATTCTGGGTTCGTAATCTTTTTACAAGGGATGGTATACTTCATTGATACATATCTATTCAGGTTCATACGAGACGGTTAGCCGATATCCGACCCAGCTTGTCAACTGCTGAAGTTTCTTACAGATTATTTCAGTCTTGATGGTTTTTGCTCTCGCCATGGTGTCTTACCAAATGTTCAAAAACGCGCACAAGTAGAAATCGACTCAGTGGTTGGGTGGGATCGCTTACCTACTTTCGAAGACAGCGTCACTACCATACGTTGAATCACTTCTACGGGAGACTTTGCGATGACGGCCTATCGGACCCATTGGTAGCCTTCCTTGGCGAGAGATCAAGCGCCTGCACTGAATATGATATTATAGCGCCACGTGCCACCTCGAGTGACGATATATATGACGGTCACTTCGACTCAGAAGGTCTGCCATTTTCATCTAAGGAGCAGATCACATCTAACCCCGATTGCAGCACTCCAAGAAACGGTCAAAGTTTGTGCTCAAGAAAACGGAACTTGCCGTGTACTGGCTCTACCAGCCGCTGAAGATACCAGGAGGTCAAAACGACCATGGACGTAGGACCTTTGCGATTTTGACCCAGGCTGGAAATGGAAAATAATTTTACTGTCAATGCGCAACATGTGCAATATCGTCGATACCGGCATCTGAAATGGACATGCAGGAGATACCAAAGCTACCATCACCGTCAGGGAATAAAACAAAGACCGTGATTGTAATGACGACCCAGGCGATTGCGTACTGCGCTGAGGGGCTAGACTCGTGACCAGTCTGACGTACGTCACATGAGAGTGGAGAATTTTTGACGTGATCTCGGAGAAATTTGGCAGGCGAAGCACGGAGTTCGAATTTTAGCAGGTGCCGGTTGTGCCGGGTGTTGTCGTACATAATGCATTCAGACATTGTACAGACACTACTGTTTTGCTACATCTCTATGTTATGACCATGAGTTTCAATATTTGCCTATGTCTATATCAGCTTTGAATGCTCTCAAAAACCTTCCAATGGACTTTACAAACACGATCACAATTAATCATGACACTCCTCATGACAAGACTCTCTGGAGTGTACATGAGTGTTGCCTATTGGGCAGTATTTGTATGATCTTCCATGCAGCGCATGTTCAAAGGAAGTTTTGGCAATGCAGTACTCTATGCCGTGCGCGAATAAAAGTTTCTGAGTGATTGATAGTTGATAGTAACTATGTAGTGCTATTACTTCAACTGGCATGACTGGCACCTGCTAAATTGAAACTCCGTGCTTCGCCTGTCAAATCTCTCTGAGATCAACCAGCCTGGCTATGCCACTTGACTTGTCTGTGGTTATATAAGCCAGGCTGGTCCCAAGCCTACTGAGGGGCATGAATAGCCATATATAGCCTGCATGGCCTGGCACTCGTGATAAGCGCTGGGGCTCAATGTCATCACTGAAAATCAAGATATGTTACCAACCGTTATATCCACCTTATAATGGTCATAATGTCTGCAATCAGGTAAAATATGGCAAGTGGTTATATAATGTCATATCTACCTTTAAACATGTAGCCTCCTTGACCAATTTAAATAATAATAATACATATTTGTGGGACCACCAAGTATGGCATGTAAGTGAAGAAATTATAATTCTTTTTGTGCAATACACTGTCTTAAAACTACACAACTGGGAGTCAGACATTAAGCAACAGGAACTGTATTAGAGACCATATATGACTTTAAACACGTAGCCTTTGTGGCCAATCTACATAATGATTTTGTAGGCAGATACTTGCAGGATTGGTATGAGCAGACACACTATATTATTCTAAAGTTCTAATATATTGATGTGACTTGCATTGCGAAATGAGGTGCTTAGAGACAAAATTGTCATTATTGAGCTGGTGGCCCACATGTATCAGCGCAGTATGCGCTACCAGAGCTTGCAAGTCAGGTGGATGTGTCCCTGACCACTCGCAACACCGTTCTTGACACAAGCACGACCAATGTTCAATACTGCAACACCACGCACAACTCGTTACCTGAAGTCACATAAGTGTCATATTCATGTTGGCTGCTAAATACTAGATGGGTGAAGAAAGTGAACCACTCGTCTCAACCATATGGTGGTGCAGAATGATTAAACAAATTATCTATCATTCAACATTTGCGCAGAAAAGGGTCTTAATGTCATTGCTGAGCACTGAATCCTGATCGCACTACTCGGATCTCACTCGGCACGATGTTGTGGCCAAAATTGATCATTATACAACATAGCTGAAATTGTACAATATAAAGTTTAATACAAGGAACTCCCACTTACATAAGTACTAGTAGGTTCCAACCCAACTAAGCTATGGGCAACATCGCTTGGCCAAAGTCATGGCAACTGACATGTGGTTTGCCTGCTGCGGGCGATAGTCAGAAACATGTTTTTGACCAAAAACTTTTCTAAAAAATGGAATCCCAATGTGTCAATGCATCAATGGAAGGCAGTGTAAAGACACCAAGGCTACTCACCTATTCCACCAAAGTAAGAGATCATCCACTTCTTTCGCTGCTTCAGGTGTTGGAGGAAGTTCAAGATAGTCAACTATGTTATCATAAAACTCTTGATTGTTGAATTCGTCATCAACGACGCGCCAAGATCCTGAGCTTGACAATGCAAATCTTAGCTAAACCCTCTAATCAGCAAAACATGGATACTTTGAATCAAGTAGTCTGATACCTGAACAGATATGTAAGCTATGGCTTGAGGTTGGATAGATCACATATTGACTAGTGTTGAAACGTCACACCAAGTGCGACACTTGCCACTGTTCCTGCCGAGTGTGGAACGACCCATCGAGTCAACAGCTTGTTCCTCGTCTGTGGAACTCGGAGAGGTGAATACACATTTAAATACCTGCAGACAACATTCGGTATAACTTCTGTCACACATATTAATCTCACCTTGACTAGTAGCTCGCCTTTAAACAGATCCTTTGTAGGGTTCTGGGGGTTGTAACATCCATCCTTGTACAGGAACAAAGGCCAAGAGCAAGCAGTGATGTGAAAATCGGGATGGTAGTCTCGAATGGATGCTCAAACACTTTGAAGGTATAAGTTATCTGTGGCGCAGCTCATAAAAGAGCACTTACATGGGATTGCTCCAGTTACTGTATAATCAACTGGGCACAAGAGTTCACCCGTCACGTCATGGTAAAATCCTCGACCAGATTTGTTTTGCTTGTGAATGGGGGGATTTGGCGTGGGGGTACGTTCCATTAGCCAATCAGCGACAGCACGCTTGAGACCAGCAGAGTCGTCTCCTCTGGCCCCATCAGAGCTTTCATTCAGCTGGATGCAAGATACAGTGATGATTCATCAGTGATTTGTTTTGGGGAATCTCACCTTACTATACGCAAAAGCAAGAGTTTCATGCTTGGCAGATGACTGTAGCAACTTACGAACCGAGGGACACCATGTCATAAGTTTCTTGAAGGAGCAATACTGTCTATTCTCTCTGAAACACAACCTGAGAGTTAACCAGTAAGATTCGGGAAAACACTTACTCTGGGTTATCTGAGTCCATTATATCAGCATCAGATTCATTGGCAGCGCCCAGTCCAATGTGCCTATCAAATTCTACCACTAGATCTTCAACGCGCTCGGTTAGGCACATGAGCCTTCGAATTGCTCGGTCATAATATACATTTGATTCACTGTTTTGATCGCATTATCAATCTGTTGTACCGTATTTTTAAATATTAGACATACTATTTCTTCCCAGGGAGCCGACGGACTTGAAGGTCTGCATTTTCTTCCTCAAGTGCAGTAATTCATCTTTTAAGAGCGACTAGAGGTTGAATGTTGTTGTTGTCTGATTCAGATTGAGATTGGGATGAGGATGCCATTGCCCACAGATAAGAATGTTGAGTGGGAATTTGGAAGTGGGCATGTAAGTCAATTTAGCTGAGGAAACATGAAGCATGGACCTCAAAACAGCTAGTTTCATGACATGTACCAATCACAACGTCATATATAGCAAAGATCCGACACCTTTTGAGTTTCGGCTCCATACATTCTTCATATCTCCATGGACAGTGCATTGCGTACATGTTGAGTCCGTGATTGACTAGTAGAGTTTGCTCCAGGTGATCCTATTGATCAACACGATTAGATTAAAGATGACTGCAGCCTAATCAAGTTAATGTGCTCACAGTGATTACATAAAACATTGTGGTCAACTGGAGTAGTAAGGGTGGAACAAGAAAAAAAAATCTTGAATAAAATGGAAGAGCAGGGACACTAAACCAATGAGAGGTGGGGACACCAAACCAAACCAGATTATAACTACCTGGATGAAATAGAGACTAAAACAAATGTACGGCCAGGTCTTTGTTCACTATTTGCGCTGGTGGGCAAACCAGATTTGAAAGCCCCTACAACAAATATCAGAACATCATTGAATCAAATTGAGACCATTTGAATGAAGTAAAAATACCCCTGCTAAAGGCCTCTGTATAGCCCCCAAAATGCCAACTCCATGTCATCTATACTTACCAACTTGGAGCTTGAGACTGACCCCCGCATCTTTTATCCTTCTATCAGTGATTTTCTGGCCAAACTCGATAAGGCAGAGCCACAATGCGGTTGGACTGAAACATTTCTCCATCCACTGACATCACTGGGAGTCAGGCTTTTTTTTTATAGAAATCATTTCACCTGAATGCCTTATCATTTTTCACAGCCTCTGTCCCCTTATGGTCATGGACTTCTTCATTCACATCATCAGTTATCTTGATGAAGCTGGCGATTCACATCAGAGTACTAGTTTTGGATCGTAACATGGAAAGCGGCTGGAAACAATACTAGGTGAGAATTTAGCGTTGTTCAATGCCTGTATAGAAGGCAAACCTTTATTTTCAGCAGCCCCGGAGTCATCATCTGCCGCAGTACATCTAGTACATGGTGGAGTAGATGTCTTTGGCGAGAGACAGGAGAACACAAATCATTACGCATACCCAGATCCTTGAGACATTGCGTAGGATGTACTGTTTACTATAAGATGTAGTTTAGCATCATGTATAAGTCTCAAGTGTAATGCTACATACAATTAATGATACTAAACTTGGAGCACAATGAACATGAACTCGAGTACAGGAGGTGGCAGATGGGCATGTAATGAATGAACTTGAGGTCGCCGTCTCTTGATGCTGCGCATTCGCTTCTCCTTGCCAGACCTGGTCTAATCTTCTTCTGCCGTGACTGGTGCGACTGAACTCTGTCACAAACCAAAAAGATGACCCGCCATTCTCAGTATGACAAATAAGATTTTTGGTCAGAATATGTACATAGATCCTTGTGGAAAAAAGTAAATGCATCCCCTACTCTGAGGTAGCACATCAAAGTCCATACATCGCTCTGAAGATGATTATCTATAGAGCCACAAAGTATGTATCACAATACAGAACTGACCCGGAGGTACTCAGCAATGCAAAATGTCGGATGACAGTATGCTAAAAGGCCCTCCTATTGAAGGCATTAGCCGGTCATAGTGGATTTTCAGGATAAAAAGACATGCCTTGGGTGCGCCTCAAATCTACTACTTGATCAGCGCCCTTCCAGAGAGACATGTCGCCACCTCCAAATTCACCCCAGGCAGTGGGAACTTGAGATGCCAGCACGATGCAAGGGTCACTAAGGGAACTAGATTCCAGGAATGTTTCGACTGTATTGATATCTTCTGAGATGTGGAAGACAACTACTTGGAGGTGTGGCAGAGTGAGAAGGGACACCACCAATTTTGGTTTAGTCCTCTGTGTATGGATATGTAAACACAAGTGCGCCAGTCCATGAAGATACTCCAGATCAACTGTAGAGTTCCATAGCACCCAGCCGTTGAGAATTTCAAGGTGTGTCACGGTACTGAAGGCTTTGAAAGCAGAAAGGGAGACCAACTGGGTGTAACGGAAATTCAGAGATATACTAAGTGATAACAATATTAGTGGGAGGTCATCTAAGGGCTGTAGCAGAGGATTTGTTGTTTCATTCTTGAAGTCCGATGGTGCGATCCATAATGCAAGATTGGTGGTACCATTGCACAGGGAAATGATCTCTGTGGCTGTACTCAGAAATACATCACCCTCGATACACAATGATTTCACTGCCCCTCGAGTGAAGTCACAGTGACAGGACCGAATATAAAGTGATGAAAGAAAGGAGATAGCAATGCTTTCACTTGACAGAACAATTTTTCGGTAAAGTAGCCTTTCGATCCTACAGCAGTATTCAGTATCATTGTGCTCTGCCTCAACCCTTCGGAATTGCTCACCAGTAATGCACCCTCTGTGAAACAAACAAGAATGAGTAAGCTTGCTGCATGCAATCAATAGCAAGAGTGATGATCTCTCTCTCAAGTTCGATGGGAAGCGCTGGCACTGACATGAAGGTTTGAACACTTGGCCAGTGTGGCGGTGCGGCGGCTGCAACCCAAGTCGCGCTGAGCCAAAGTTCATTCACTATATTATTGCCTGAGATTACTTAATTTTGTCAAACCAACTTACTATTCTGCTCGCCTGGTCACGAAGCTATGCTCCATTTGTCAATTTCATTCCTGCGTATTGATTGCACAGTCCTGGACTGCGCAAAGCAGGATATGGAGTGCATAGAGGTAGCCTGTGCTAGGTACAGCAGGGCATTTGGCACTATTTAGGACTGGTAATCAATCTGTGCAAATCGTAGCCTGAGAAATTCAATTACGTTTCTTCAGCAGTATTAATCTTTGTCAATAGTAATGGACCCACAACTCGTTATGCAGATAAGCCATAATGCATGATGACCTAATGGTCAGTCTTGATTCTTCTGCGACCAGAATGCATAGTGTGGTTGTTTTGTGTAATGCTGGTGACCTCATAAAGCTCAAACAAACAGAGTCGCATGTGAGATGCCAACCCTGCACCTGTAGATCCAACCATATCATAACTGCATGAAGAACAGAAGCATCAGCCTGAGTTTCAAGTTAAACTAAACCAACGGTGGCCTAGTGAGTGATGAAAGGAGATAAGCTTTGATGCAACGTCAAGCCAAAGCTGCAGGTATTTGGAGCAATGGATTTTTTCAATGGCAGTCTACTAGTACATAATCTTGTGTGAAATGCTTTCCATCGGGCTTGAATATACAGTGGCTCAAAAAAGTGTCCCAATGTTTGTAACTTTTCACGTAATTGCTATATCATGAGTCAAGACGTGAAAATATGACTAAGCTATAGGAAGATGTTGGAAAGGTCTGCTTCTCAGCTTCATTTCGGTTCCCTATACCGTGGGAAATTAATGACATTATGTGAAGATATGAGTATTTTAATTTGATGACTCATTGGGACACTTTTTTGACTTTGAGTTTAACTAATGTAATCTCTATAATTCTAGTACTATGTGTGACCTCCTTCTGCCCCAATCACTTCTGCCACTCTTCTAGACATATTGTCTATCAATTTTGGGTATTCCTCTTTGGTGATTCCATCATGCTCTGCTGTAACACTGTCTCATAGTTGGAATAACCCCTATGGTGAATCTTGATATGCTATAAGTAATTTCTTGAGTGATTCTCAGAGGTATTCAATAGGGTTGATGTCTTGGGTCTATGTTGAACATGATAGAATAGTAATATCATGGTCTGCAGGCTATTGGTGGCTGATTTAGAGGTATACTTAGGGTCATTGTCTTATCACAAAACAGTATCTTCTTCATTAACTTATAACTCCTGCATGCTTCTTAGCAGACGTTCCTGTCAAATGAGTATTTACTACTCTGTATTCATACTCCCCTTTGCTTCATAGAAAATTCCCACTCCATTTTATCTCATATAGTCCTATACCATCAAGTTTTCATCTTGAAACTTAAGGTGTTTATTTAACTTTTCTTTATCTTAATGATTGTCCTATCTATTTTAATACAAATTCCTTGCCATATGATCTCATCCTATTGATTTTAACCATATCTAACTAGATAAACCTCTTTCGGCTATCAGCAGTCTAATATTTGTACTTGAAAGTAGCATCTTGTCTTTTCTTTTTATAGGTTGGAGACAGAAGAATCTGTTTTTCTTGATTATAGCTTTAAGATGGGCTGTCTTGAGAGTCTGTCTGACTATTTGAGTAGAGATAGTCATAGGAATGATGGAAATAATCAATTTGGTCACTTTATTAGCATCAGTGGCCTTTCCAATTAGAATATAGTGATTAAGAGATCTTAAGTCTTATAGAGCAACCTTCTAGATTGGCTACCAAATAACTTAAAGACCATGATATTACTATTCTATCATGTTCAGCATAGACCCAAGACATCAACCCTATTGAATACCTCTGAGAATCACTCAAGAAATTACTTATAGCATATCAAGATTCACCATAGGGGTTATTCCAACTATGAGACAGTGTTACAGCAGAGCATGATGGAATCACCAAAGAGGAATACCCAAAATTGATAGACAATATGTCTAGAAGAGTGGCAGAAGTGATTGGGGCAGAAGGAGGTCACACATAGTACTAGAATTATAGAGATTACATTAGTTAAACTCAAAGTCAAAAAAGTGTCCCAATGAGTCATCAAATTAAAATACTCATATCTTCACATAATGTCATTACTTTCCCACGGTATAGGGAACCGAAATGAAGCTGAGAAGCAGACCTTCCCGACATCTTCCTATAGCTTAGTCATATTTCCACGTCTTGACTCATGATATAGCAATTACATGAAAAGCTACAAACATTGGGACACTTTTTTGAGCCACTGTACATCATGATAGTATAGGTTTACAACAGAAGGTATCATAAATGATAAGTTTACTTGGCACTGCCCTCCAGAATGCGATAAATCTTGGACAGCACCTCTGTTTGCCTGTCAATGGCAGCTTCGAGGCATTTCACAACACTAAGTTCTGAGGTTTCATGGGTCATGCTTCTATTCAATTCGAAGGCCTTTCCCAGCTTCCTACACTTTGGCACTTCAAGTGCTGGTACTGATTGAGCGTGTTGGACATTGCTCAGGTTTCGCCCAAAGTGATGTGGTGTCTACATCAATATAGCCATTAACAACTGATGTGAAAAACGAAATGATGAGTCAAGCTCACCATGGGGTCAGACTCAGAGGCTGTCTTTGACCTCTTGTGCTTCAGGGGCCAAATTTCTGAGTCACCACTATGGCCTCCAATTTGTGTGTTCGAACTATCGACATCCTGGAACAATAACCATTAGAACCGAGTGTATAATATCTTGAGGTGGCCATTGTACCCTTTCAAGTTCCTGGTGTTCGGATACATCTGCAAGTGCATCTGCGAGTGCAAGTGCAGGTTCAACTTTCATGCGACGGTAGCACCCACAGCTGTATACAGGGGCACCTTGGCCATGCGCTTGGCCACTGAGGCATGGCTCAAAATCATGGCTATGTGGAATGCTGGATGTCATAGTGTCACCTTCACACAACTCCTCAAGTCTAGCAACTATGAGGAGAGCTTCAGCATTGGTCAAGCCAGATGGGTGTGAGTCTGAGTCAGTACTGGTATAGGATATGGCGAAATGTGGTTATCCAGGCTCTTGTGATGGAAAGGTGAATCAGGTCGATTGTTTCATTTCTCCACTCCATAGTTTAAACATATTTTGAGAACAGTATTTCATATCAATGATAGATCTAACTAGTAATCTGGTTCCACTCACCAGCATAAGTAAGATTAGGTGGTACCGGCCAGATCATGTTACAATTGATGAGGAGCTTGGAGCTGTCAAGCACTTTAGACTGTCCTGTAAGGAGTTATAAAAATTTTCAATATTACATAGAAACAACCCTGGAGTGTGGCGGAGCTTCATGACGTCAAGTTAGAGCTGCATTTTACCCTGAAATATTGTCCCTAGATATCAGCATCAATGAACACAGTGCCGAACATGAGACTTGAGGCCATTGTTGACTAGCTTTAGATCTGTTTGGCAATGATGGCAGGAGCATCAGATTCCAAGATTTGTTACCAAAAGAATTTCTGTAACAGGGCATGGGTCTAAGTCCTGAAAACATGACATGATACAAATACCCTTACACTTGACGGAGTAAGCAAGAAACATGTCGTCTGACTACAATGCTCATAATAACTCTCACCCTTCTGACTTCAATGATGAGGCTGAGTTAATCTTAACAGATGCTAACTTCAGGTTGGAGGACTGCTTAGGGAGGTCTACTCCAGAAAGTCATATTGGATGCCATGGGTGTGGCCATGGCAAAAGTGTCCCTGCATATTCCTGTAGATGCTATCAGCAGAATTTTGGACAGTTCAAATCCAAACCTTCATCTCCAGATGATGAGGAGGCATTTCAGCCCACAGATTATGCACCTTGTTCGAAGCGAAAGTGGTCTGAAGATGATGGGGTGAGTATGCCCAGCTCAATTTTTTGACTGACACACTCACTTTGGCCAGGGCGTGACTAACATAGGGGCAACATCAGTACCTATTGTTGAGCTTCTGCCTGAAAAACACATGAAGGTTGAAAGAAAATTTGAGTCGTTTGAAGGGGAATTGCTAGCCAAGATGGCAGCCATCATGCAGGAAGTCGTGGGAGTGTGTGATGCTGTCAGTAGGATTGGAACAATCATTGATAGGCATCATGGAGTTCTTCTTGAAATCTGTAATGCTATTGAGAACCATGGGATGTAACTTGTTGTATTAACTCTTCATACCAGTGTAATAACAAGCAGTATCGTCCTTGATGGTTGCTGAGCAGTGCTGCCTACTAGTAAAGGTTCAACATCACAAACATTGAGACCATGTGATAATTTGTCTAGCCAACCTGTGACCTTGCTTCAATTTTTGGTTTGCAACCATGACCACAATGCACTCTTAGTGCCACATTTCAAGTGAGTACCCATTGTTTGAAACAGACCATTCGGGATGTTCACTACTTTGATTATTCTCATACTGCAATGCACAACAGATTTTATCTAGCAATGCATCGGTCACACATCAGCTTGTTAATTAACTGGTGTGTGACATTGCAACACTACTTGATATGCGATCTGTTCAACCTTGAGCCATAGCTTACATATCCATTTAGGTTCAGACTACTTGATTCAAAGTATCCATGTTTTGCTGATTAGAGGGCCCAGCATTGTCAAACTCAGGATATTGGCACATCTGCACCCAAGCACAAATCCGCTGATTGGATGAACAAGTTCTTGGACCGTCTCTGGCTCATTTATAAGCCTGTTCTTTCTGCTATTATTGTCACCTTTGTTGATAAGATGCTGAGCACCACTATTCCTGCCTTCTCGGACTCCTTGCACCTCACAACCTTCACCCTTGGGATGAAGACTTCCCGCATAGACAAAGTTAGGACATCTCCAAGGACTGCTAATGATGTTGCCATGATGGTTTGGGGAATATCATTCATTCCCAACCATGTATCTGACATAACTCTCTGTAAAGCAGCGCAATCCCAAAATTGTTCAATCTGTTCGCCTGGGCAAAGGTCTTGCCACAGCCTTCATGCTGGTGAGTTGCTTGGACTTGACATAGTCATGTAAGTCACAATATAATGAATTATCATCGACTCGAGCTTACCCTATCATCAGATTCCTGGTTTACAGACTTTCATTCAGGATATAATTCACTACATGCTCAGTCCCGTGGAGTACAAGCAGTCCAAGCTAGGTGCTGCGAATTTCACGAATCAAGTCTGCTGGAAACAGCGTCTGACATCAGTCTCGAATTCTCCCCCAATACCTCTGATCATTAAATTTCACCCCATTCAAGTGTGTCGTTCACTGATACAATGGAAGATCTGCCAATTCTTCGACTAGTCATACATGTATGGGCAGCCCAGAAATGTCCATATGGTGTTACATCATATATAGTAAGTGTGTCCAATATGTGCAGCCACTAAACCTGTTAAGACCGTGCACAGAGGGTAGGACTGATTCTGAGGGGCTTGGCTTCAGCTCATGTGCTGCGCCCCTTACCCAAGTATGTGCCCTTAATTTCAGATTGGTGTCTGAAGAAAGTCCAAAGACGTCCAAAGATGTCCGAAGGTGTGGGAAACTTCAGAAGGACTTTCTGGATGGATGCAAGTAATGTCTGGATGAGTGCGGGAAAGTTACAGAGGAACTTCTGGAAATTACAATGAGGTTTTGTCCTGATACAGATATGTGTAATGGCTACTCAGGACAAATCCTGAGTAGAAGCAAACAGAGGAAAGGCTGCAAGGACAAGGTCCGAAGCAGAATAGGTCTGGAGGACCGCAGGAAAGATCTGGATGAACTTCCAGAAACTACGGAGGATCAGATGAGCAGATGAGCAGAGTATCAGATAAGTAGAGCTCCGGCCTAGGGAGAAACTCCCTAGGCCTGAGATGGATAACTACTAAGTTGGAAGACTAGAACTGATATGAGGACTTAGAGTGAGATCTAGTGTGAGGACTAATATGATATTCAGACTGAGGAACTACAGGACATATACAAGAGTTTATATACTAAGTGACTATCAGAAAGATCAATAAGCAAAGGTCCAAGGCTATGTATGAAGCATAAGCAAAGTTATCAAACGCGAGTCGGAAATGAAGCATAGGTTAACAGATCAGCAAGCATACCGGTAGTAAGTATAACCAAGGTACCAGGAACAAGGAATACCAGATAGGCTGTGTTAACGTTATATGCACAGGAAATGAATTAAGTAGCTTATCATATATCGGATCGGATCGGATATGGTCTGGACGAGATGCATGGATGTATGGGATATGACATGAGGGCAATAGGACAAAGGATGAATGAAGCAGGCTAGCTGTGGAGGTATGTAGGTCTGATGTACGGAGGTAAAGGGATCTAGATGTGGATGTGCAGATGTGGATGTGCAGAGGTGCAGGGATCCGGATGGGTAGAGGACTGGAGACATGGATAAGGTGTCCGAAGGTCCGGATGAAGCGTGGGAATATTGTTGGATGTAGGTCTGGAATATGGGATATGACAAAACCTCATTCTCAGCCTCTTCATGCGTTGACCTGCACCAAACCGGTTTGGTGCATAGACGACCAATACTCTCTCATGAGTCATATACCCTGAAATACCACTATGAAACCCTTTTCCCTTTTATCTGAAGTTGGACTGAGGCTAAGGGAATATTTTTTGCTTTTCTTTTTATTTTTTTTATTTTTCAAGTCTATATGCCAGCAGCCTGAATATTTTAGTACATTTAATTCTGCGATGAGTTTTGCTTAGTCAGCCATGGTGATGACTCAGACAAAATCCCACACATGTCAGGTGACTGTGAAAAATATTTCCCACATATGTTGTCCTGGAAAAACATTAGTAAACCCCTAAATACTAGGCTCGCGTCATTCTCACCCTTCAAACAAAGCAAAGCAAAGACAGCCACACACAGGATTCATATCATGTGACACTTCTTACTCTCCTTCTGGATTTGTCATCAGGGGTTGGACAGGTCACATGACTTAGCAAATACCCAATGACTCACTATGACTCACTCTAGATACTTACTATGACTCACTATGACTCACCTTGCACATATGACTCATTATGACTCTTGATGACTCTTGAATACACTAGTAGCACAGCCACATTTATTGTGTATATAATGACCTCAGTTTTCGAAATAATAAAAAGCAGATACCAGCAGGTAGTAGGGTGTTTCTCAGCCCAACTAACACTAAGTTGTGAAGTAAGGTGTGATAAGTGTCAGTACCAGTGTCAAGAACTGTTTCAAGACTGAGAGGAACACTCTCAAGAGACAGTAATACTGCAAGCCCATCATACTGAATGACCCGCTGTGAGCTCACTGTGTGCAACAACCAGCAAGCAAGGTACAGCCACACTTTTATTCTGATTTCTATTATTCTTTTTCTTTTCTTTTACTTTCACTGACCTTTGGTGTTCTTTGTCCAAAAAATACTGATCCAAAATATTCGTGTTGTCTCTACGTCCACCTAAGACTCAGTAGTAGCATAGTGGGGAGACTTTAGGAATTGATAGTGAAGCTTGACCTCACTCATCTGAGTAGTGATACTGAGCCAAGATATTCTGTGCCTGCTAGGCTTTAGCCATTGAAGAGGGGACTTGGTAGTAAACCCAAGGACGTCCGTTCCTGAGTCTGTTTGAATACTCAAAGAAGAGTTCCTTGACAGCAGGTTCAATATCGAGCTAAGAGTTCTACAATAAAGCATTTGACTAGTCTTGACCTTTGATTCTACCTGTTTTGTGCTGAGGGAGTTTATCATTGTAATTCCGCACCATTTCTTTTGGAGTATAGTTGGCACGAGGCACTGTTGTTGAAAGGGAACTTGAGGAAGAAACCCGTATATTCTTTTGGTCATCGCCATACTGTCGGGCTGACCATTGTTTGTTTGTTTGTTTTCCTGTCAAGTCCAAAGATTGGATTGACCATCGTATTACTGATCTTGCAGAAGTATCCTTAGCTGAACATACCTTGGGTAGTATACAACTAGCCACCCACGAACGACCACGTTATCAGTCATTGGTATTTGTCTGAATCGCTGACCATGGAGATATTTGTTTTTATAGGTGTTTATCTATAGATCATCTATCTAAGAAGACAGTGTATGACCGAACATTCGTAAGTCAATGCAGAATTTTATACAGTGGCTCAAAAAAGTGTCCCAATGTTTGTAGCTTTTCATGTAATTGCTATACCATGTGTCAAGACGTGGGAATATGACTAAGCTATATGGAGGTGTTGGAAAGGTCTGCTTCTCAGCTTTATTTCGGTTTCCTATACCGTGGGAAAATAATGACATTATGTGAAGATATGATCATTTTAATTTGATGACTCATTGGGACACTTTTTTGACTTTGAGTTTCACTAATGTAATCCTTAAAATTCTAGTACTTTGTGTAACCTCCTTCTGCCCCAATCACTTCTGCCACTCTTCTAGACATATTCTATATCAATTTTGGGTATTCCTCTTTGGTATTTCCATCATACTCTGCTGTAACACTGTCTCATAGTTGGAATAGCCCCTATGGTGAATCTTGATATGCTAAGATAGGCCTCAAGCAGTTTCCGCAAACATCACGTGATGTGACTTGCTGTGACTCTACTTGTGATTACTGCATTTGGTACCGGGACTCCAGAAGCATACTGGCAGCGCTGCAGCGGTGATACAGAACAAACTTGCAGGATTTACAGTATGTAATAAAATTAGTAGGTACATGTTAATATGAAGACTATGTTTAATTTAAGTGTGCACTCTCGAATTCTGACATTATTGCTGAAGGGAGTACACGATGGCCTCGGTATTGCTTTGCAGCCCAGGCAGCTTGTTTGCCATTAAGTCCTTTATAATAAGCATCCATGAATGAAGGTGGGTACTGTGCTCCGAGTCCATAGTAGCTGTGTGGTTGTGCTCTGAGTCCATAGCGGTAGTGTGGCTGCGCTCTGAGACCATAGCGGCAGTGTGGCTGCGCTCCGAGTCCATAGCGGCACCATTGTTCTTGAGTTGCACAAAAACCTGACCTGAGGCTAACAGAAAAATCTCAACTGGGAGCTTAGACTTCGAAGGTGTAGAATTGAATGGAAAAGTGGTTTCACAGCCTGAAGCTACTACAGAACTCGAAGCTATGTCTACTGGATGACTCTGCACAGGCATGAGCATTGATTTCAAAAGTGAGTACAATTGAAAACTCACATTTTCTTTATCTACTGATATTTTCCGCTTTTTTGCCTGACTCCCTAGGTTCTCGATCGCAGACCGGACTTTTCGTGACCGTTTTGGCATTTTGGCAGGTTTCAGTATCAGGCCGATGGTAGGTGAAGCGGAGTCCAGAGTGTTTGGGGGCTTTATGTACAATGTATGCCTTAAATCTTGCTTGTGTTGCCATCTCCTCCTTCAATTTCACACAAATGGTAATTCTGGAACAGATGATTTGTCGAAAAGTACGTATACTACAACTCTTCCGTTTCCGTTTTTTTATACCTTGTCGCCACGGACATCCTATACACATTCATTGCTTTTGTCATGTTTCATCACACTTTGTCATGTGATGTTTGCGGAAACTGCTTGAGGCCTATCTTACAAGCAATTTCTTGAGTGATTCTCAGGGGTATTCAATAGGGTTGATGTCTTGGGTCTATGCTGAACATGATAGAATAGTAATATCATGGTCTGCAAGCTATTGGTGGCTGATTTAGAGGTATACTTAGGATCATTGTCTTATCACAAAACAGTATCTTCTTCATTAACTCATAACTCCTGCATGCTTCTTAGCAGACACTCCTTTCAAATGAGTATTTACTATTCTGTATTCATCCTCCCCTTTGCTTCATAGAAAATTCCCACTCCATTTTATCTCATATAGTCCTATACCATCAAGTTTTCGTCTTGAAACTTAAGTGTTTATTCAAAATTTCTTTATCTTAATGGTTGTCCTATCTATTTTAATACAAATTCCTTGCCATATGATCTCATCCTATTGATTGTAAGCTTATCTAACTAGATAAACCTCTTTCAGCTATTAGCAGTCCAATATTTGTACTTGAAAGTAGCATCTTGTCTTTTCTTTTTATAGGTTGGAGACAGAAGAATCTGTTTTTCTTGATTATAGCTTTAAGATGGGCTGTCTTGAGAGTCTGTCTGACTATTTGAGTAGAGATAATCATAAAAATAATGGAAATAATCAATTTGGTCACTTTATTAGCATCAGTGGCCTTTCCAATTAGAATATAGTGATTAAGAGATCTTAAGTCTTATAGAGCAACCTTCTAGATTGGCTACCAAATAACTTAAAGACCATGATATTACTATTCTATCATGTTCAGCATAGACCCAAGACAT